CCTCGGAAGGAAGATGGGGCAATCTAGTTCCATAGTGATAGTGCCTCGAAAACCCAAGGAGGGGTCGCTATGAGTCGGGTCCAACTCGAGGGCACTTAACAACAACAACAACATAACATAAAGAAATGTGGTACAAAACAAATATTTTCTAGAGCAAATCTAGAGAGAGATAAAAACGAAAAAAAAAAAAAGAACTCATTGTTGTGGAGTCAGATCTGACTCACTGTGACACCTCCTTGGATTTCCAAGGTGGTCTCACCAGAGAAGTAGATTACCCAACCTTCCTTCTGAGGAGTGGCTTATGGGTTGTGAACCTCCAGCCTTCTGGTTAGCAGTCAAATGACTTAAGCACTACGCCACCAGAGCTCCTAGATAAGATTTACTGCTTTGTAAATAACATGAGGACTTAGCTATCCACTCTTCAAAGTGGGACTTAGTGCCCCAACTTTTCTTCAGTTTTGTCTATTGTGAGTGAATAGAATCTGTGAAGAAATGAACATGTATTAGAATAAGGTAAGGGCAAGCTCTCAGGAGGCTTTTTATAACAGGAGACACAGTGAATAAAAGTTACTTGGTGTGAAATGACACTGACTCTAAAGTATGAAGAACAAATGAAAATTGAAAGAACGTCAATAATAATTTAAGTAAATTATCAAATAACTGGAAATTACTATTAGGATACCTTGTCATCTCTTTTAATGATACAAGTTTTCATCTTTGATTATACTGTTTTATATGACAGATGGATAGATAGATAGGTATCTGTAAGAATGCACATGTAGGTAACTTGTGAATAGTACAAAACAGCTTTGTTAGCCAGAAGTCAAAAGGTCTTCGCTAATGAGACTGATTTCTAAACCTGGGAATGGAGAGGGTAGGGAAAGTTGTAGTTGATTCAGTGATCTGTCTTACCACAGATCTGAAAAACATTTTCGCGTTAATTTTTGCAATTATTATCTTTGACATTTTGAAATAATTATATTTTATATAATTAGAAAAGTTGCAAAGACGGTACAGAGAGGTTCCATATAACCATCACTTAGTTTCTCCCAACTGTTACATTTTACATAGTTTTAGTACAGTATCAAACCCAGGAATTGGACAGTGGAACAATGTTTATATATAGTTCTATGACACCTTATAGTGTGTTTGTGTAACTACCATCAAGATCAAGATACAGAATTATTCCCTTAACACATATGGTCACTTATCTCCACTCACCTAAAAAACTTCCGGTAACAATACTTACACTTCCTAATAAGCTCTATTTGTTTTCTATTTGAATCTAGTTCTATTTTTTAAAAATTGATGTCATGATGTCAAATAGGCCTTGATCTTCAATTTTTAAAACACTGCAATAAATCTCAACCTCCTGACTTATTTCCTTAATTTGATTTGGGTCTTTAAAAAAACAAGCTGATTTACCGTGAATCCGCTTTTATTTTTAGTTGCTTACTTTCAGTGGCTTTAAATTTGGTCCTACCCTTCTACAGTTTTCCCTAGGGTCTCTTCCTAGCTTTCCAGCGTTTAAACTCTTCTTTCATTGAGCAGTCTCCAGATTCTGGTAACAAATTTATTATTCCAACACAAAAGAAAGAGATTTGCAAACTGGCATTCCAGTTAATTCACCATAAGATTTATAGTGGACCAATAGGGTTTTCCATCAGCTATCCGTTTACATTCCAGTTAAGTTCTAAGAAAATCAAAATACCTTCATGGTTGCACAGTAAACACAAATACCAAAAAAGGGATAGTAGTGGTCTGCGATGGCTTATGTCCCCCTTCTGTACAACTGAAAAGTCTGCTCTTGCCCCCGGGGATTACCTGCTGCCCTTTACAATACTGAAGAACACTAACAAAATTGCCACTCCATACTCGTCCTTTTCCAAAAACCGGAGAAAGGGGAGTGTTCATTCTAACGTCTGAAAACCTCCTGAGTTCATGCTAATTTTCTTACTCTGAATTTTTGTGAGGATATCAGAACTTTAATCTTTGAGTTAAGTATAATTTAAGTTTGCATTTACAAATATTTACGTCGTACCAGTGCTTTTTCTTATTCAGTGTGTGATTTTACTTTTGGTCCTCATTTTAGGGTGTGTCAAAGAATCAAGACATGCACCTCCGCTTCCAACTTTATCCCTAGTACACATTATCCTTACCCGTAAACAGTCTTTCTGGATAGGGCGGACCTAGTTATTAATAAACGTCAGTTATTTTGATCATTTTCTGGCATCTTAAATGTGGCAGTTACGCTGGTTGATCGCAGGCTTAGTTTGATATGGGGGAAAAAAAAAAAAAGGCCCACTCTTCATCTCAGGAGAAAAATGGAATAGCTTCACAATTCAGATCCATAGACGTGGGAATGCCCTGTTCTTCCCCGTCCCCACATCCAGTTGGCCCTCATCAGCTTCGACAGGGCTTTCTTTGGGTCGCCACGAGCCCTAAAATCCTTATCATTTCCGCAGTGGGGCCAAGGGGCGGGGGCGAGAGGCTCCGGTCGCGCGCCCTTCACCTACAGTCCTCGCGGCTCGGACCCGGCCCAAAGCCTCGGCTGTGCTAGAGGCAGGGCGCGCAGCTCCAGGCCCACGCGCCGAGCCCAGGCCGCGTCTGCTGCCCGCCGGGCCCCAGCGCAGAGCGCTCCGCCTTCCCCCAGGCCGGCGGCGGCCATGGCGGCCAGGCAGATCCGGGCGTTGGCAGGCGCCGCGCTCGGGAAGCAACCTCCCGTCGCCCTGCTACCAAAACCTCTCTGGGATGGAGCAGGGATCCGCCAGCACTTCAGCATCACCTACTGCTCGGCTTCCGGGGAAGAGTGCAATGGCTCCGGGCGCCTCTCGCAGAGCAGGCCGGAGGGTGCAGCGAGGAGCTCAGCGAGCGAAGAGTTAACGGCGGCAGAGCGGCGGATTCTAGAGCTGCACACCACCGCCTGCGCGGTGAGGCCCCCTCCAGCCCGCCCCGCCCCTCGCCGCGCCGCCAGAAGTCGGGGAATCGGTGCGTTTGCGCGTGCTCCGCCGCGCAGGCAACCGGAGGCGGCCTAGAAGAGGGGAAGGTTGCTGGGAGCCGGCTCAGTTCTACCTTCCGCCTCAGACACGCACGCGTGTTTCCTGCTGCCATCGTTTCGCTTGGAAACTGGCCATAGTTTGTTATTCCAGGGAATGGGTTTACCTTTTATCTGTCCTGAGTGTGACTCGTTTCTGATTAGCGTCCGGGCTAAATTCTAACCGCAGAATGGGACCTCTCTTCACCCTACAAAGCGCTCTTGTGTTGGGGTGGGAGTGGTTAAAGAACTGACCGAGAGGAAGGTGTGGAAGCTAAGCCGTCTCAGGGAAAATGTGTGTGTGTTTGAATTACAGGTTAAACATTTTGCCATCTGGTGATTTCATCCTGAAAAAAAAATTGTCAAGACCATTCAGACTTTCGCTTTCCAATCTCTGTTCTTTTCCTGGCCACTGGAACGAATCGCGATTACAAAGGAAACTAATCCGGTGCTTACGTTCTTCGCAGACACTGTTGAACTGTTTTCTAATGTTGTGCAGATTTGACAGTTGCTTCTTGTTGTTATGTACCCTTGAATCGGACCCAACTCATAGCGACCCCTCCTTGGGTTTCCGAGGCGGTATTACTACAGAAGTAGATTGCCCAACCTGCCTTCCCAGGAGTGGCTGGTGGGTTTAAACCGCCAGCCTTCTGGTTAGTAGTCAAGTGCTTTAGGCACTAAGCTACCAGAGCTCCTAATTGCTTGTTAGAGCCAACATCTAAACTTACCATATGCCTTCACAGTTTCTCACACCCCAGCCTACTTGAGTTTAAAGATAGAGTGGCGTGTGGTTAAAGCTTTGGGATGCTAACAAAAGATGGCCGGTTCGAACCCACCAGCTGCTCTGCGGGAGAAAGAAGAGACAATCTGCTTCCATAAAGATTTAAGACCTTGGAAACCCCATGGGGCAGTTCTATTCTATCCTATAGGGTCGCTCTAAGTCGAAGTCGACTCGATGATAGTGGATTTTGGGGTTTTTATAAACAAAACTATGTGGTAAGAGAAAAAGTAAATTTTATAATGGAGATAGAAAAACTGATATGAAATTAACCTAATTGACAAGGTGTGTGTGTGTGTGTGTGACTATATGAGACCAATACTTGAGCATTTGTGTTACCTGGTGTGGCTTGAGCCAAAGGGGTAAAGAAGAAATCTTGGAGATTGGCTAAAGCTGACTTTTTTCTCATTGACAGTTAGTAGGCCCTGAGAAGCCACAGAATCTGCTGTCTGATCTATTGTAGTACTTAGGAGGATAGTCGTCAGAAAATGGCAGCTTTTGTTTGTTCTTGTTTATACTATCCTTTTAAATAGGACTTGTTTCCATTTTCACATTTGACTTTGGAGATAAATGAAAAGTTTTCATCTTTTTAGGGCAAACACCTTTGGCACGTAAGGACAGGTTCCATCAGCATGGGAAAGGAACTTTCTTCTCATTCAGGGAGTCCACAGTGGTTTCATCAGTGTCAGTATCACGGGTTAAATGACTGTCCAGGAGACCATAAGTAAACCCGATAACATGCTTGTTGTTTTTCCTTTTCAACAAATCAGACTCCTCACCATGGTTCTTCTTCTACCCCTTGAGGCAAATCACGCTCTTACCTTTTTCCCTGTGCTGATGTGCATCACTGAACATCTTGCTCTCCAGTCAAACTGTCAGAGCTCCTGCGCATCTTTGCTGCCACCATTACGTGAGGCTCATTTACTAAGGACAAATTAAGTTTGTGTGGGCCGCCAACAAGCTCAAAGGTGCTCAATCAATGTGGAAAGCAGAACAGGTGCAAGCACAAGAGCAATCTGTTAGGCTTCCAGGTTGCCAGATAATTGCCTGCAGAAGACTCCAGAAGCTATGAAAAGTGAAAAGAAAACAGCTACAGAGCTCCCAGTGTTTGTTTTTGTTTTTCCTCCAACTTCTATACACAGGCTTTGTAAATAAAGAAGTGAGATCCTAACAATCGGTCATTCTAAAGTAGTGCTTAATGCTCCCGGTTTCATGTAATCCGCTTCTGTGTTCCCAGAAGATTTGGGAGGCCCCTTAGACCAGGCTGGGGACTTGCTGGCTGGCTTTCTGCTGCCCTACCTTTGCCAGAATGCTATAGAGTGGACCTAGACTTCAACTTTTATCTGTCCTTTTGCTCCATACTTTATTCATGAAGCATAGACGGTTAAACCCTCAACCAGAATAACATATTCAGTGACTGACTACAAAAGAGAGCCAGAAGTTGTTCCTGGCTCATATACAAATTTGTATCAGAAGACATGGGAATTTTACCTGTATTTAAATGAAAAGGCTCTATACATGTGTATTTACCTGAAAAGTGCATCTTAATGATGCACTGAGTTACTGCAAGGTGAACCCGTAATAATAAAAGGCCCAGGAGAAAAATTCTCTACAAAATCTCAAGGCTTAGTATTATTACTCATATAACCCAACTCTACAACAGAGGAGGTTGTATATTAACTTTCACACAAAGTAATTGAGACACCTTTTTTTTTAATGTAGGTAGAGTGTGGTTCCTTGACATCTGAACTGATGTTGTAAAAGTTGCTTTTGATCAAATTTGTGAAACCAGTGAATGTTAATATGTTAAAACAATACTTTTTTTTTTTTTTTTTGCTTAAAAATAGAACCAACAACACCCCAAAAAATGAAAGTAGGGTAAAATATGCAATGGAATAACATCATGAAAGTAAAGAAAAATGTTCAATAATAGCAGACATAATACTTTTTCTATAAGGACTGTTGGTTTTGATTAGCACCTTTTCTGTAAGTTTCAATCATTATCCACATATTTTAAGTACTGAAATTGCAACTGCAACTTCTGAGTGAAAGTTCATTTTCAGCCTCTTAAGCTCTTAAAATCATTTAAATCGCCTGTTATTAACCTTGTTACCTAGAAACCAAATGAAAAATACCGAAGCTTTGGCTACGTAGTTATTGGGTATAGAGGAGTTCTTGTTTTTCCATCAACTTCTCATTTTTCTCAAACTATATATTTTCTCCTATGTCATATAAAGTTGGATTGTGTATAGTGTCGGAATGCATTCAGTCTTTAATTGCAAGTGCCACTAAAAATGCAGGGAAGAAGTTTAATACTTTTTAAAGCAAAATGTATGGTATTTTATGAGTAGAAATTATGGTGCGGAGATATGATGAATATTTAGATTAATGAATTGTTTCATTTTATTACCCTTCAGGCTGGCCAGCTCACCTATGTGGATCCAGCTACTGGCTATGTGGTGCTCACACAGCTTGCCCACTTACAGAGAGGTGAATGCTGTGGCTCTGCCTGCAGACACGTGAGTAGCAAATTCTCACATTACAGCAGCAGTTTTCGGTGCTTCTGTAACTTCGTAAATACCTATTATTTGAAAAACAAGTCAAATAAAAAAGCTAAATAGACCTGGAGTGTACTTTTCACAAGCTACTTTAGTGAAGGACAATGGAGTCCTTAGGGCCAACATAGGACCTTTAAAGTTAATGGAATTTTGTAACATTTCACTATGAGCATCAGTTCCTGGAAATACTGTGATTTGAAATTCACGGGAGCTCTTTATTACCAGGAAACTTTTCATGAGGTTTCACTAGGCAGGCACAAAGAGGGCAGGAAAAGAAATTCAAAGTGCTGAAAACTAGATCCCAGCAAGCATTTTCTTCATTAACTGAATAGAAATTGCCAGGCATTGAGAGGTGTATATGATAATGATTTTATATGATAATGATTTTCTTTCTTTTTTCCTTTCCTTCTCTCTCTTCCTCTCATATTTTTCAAGTCTGTCTTTAAAATAAGGTCCCCCCAAAATTAATTCTGTGCATTTCCTAAAATATCTATTTCAGTATATACATCTCTGTATTCATTAAGATGAATTAACTGATCCTTGCCTATTTTGAGCAAAGAATTAGTGGAAAAGCTTCTTAACTATTATTATTTTTTTAAAAAAGGCATAGTGGTAAGGTAAATTGTTATAAGGTTAAAATTATAAACATATAACAACCTCTGTTTTAAAGAGCACTTTGACTTCTTACATGATTCCAAAACATAATCCATTTTATTGCCTCTGTGGATAATGGGAATTCCCTTTTTTGTAAAGGCATCTGTAGAAGCTCTGGTAGCATAGTGCCTAAGGCACTTGACTGCTAACCAGAAAACTGGCGGTTCAAACCTACCAGCCACTCCTCAGAAGGCAGGTTGGGCAATCTACTTCTGTAGTGATACTGCCTCGGAAACCCAAGGAGGGGTCACTATGAGTCGGGTCCAACTCAATGGCACACAACGACAACAACAAAGGCACCTGTGAAAAGACTTTTCTTCATCATGTTTCTAAGCATCAGTCATGAATAAGAAAGTATATGTTATTTGGAGCAAGGAGGAGTTTGTTGTTTTCTTTAACTGACCCACTTTTTAGTTAAGGAATAGACACTAAATACATGTGTCAATGATAGGCAGTATTGGTAAAATAAGCTTTCAATTTCATGTATGCTCTTACCTGTGCTATTCACTGTTTCTAATCAAATACATAAGCACTTGTGTAAATTGAAGACTTGGGGATTTTCTCAGATGGGATTTTTGACAGTAAAATTCTTAAAGTTGGAAGTATGCATTTAGGAAGTAGTTCTTGGATCTTAATGAGGACCATTTGCCCGAGGTTGTCATTACTCTCGTAGTAGTCTGAAAGACTTTATAGATGAAATGATCTGTATAACATTAACATTCTCTTTTTTCACAATGAGTAGTATTACACTTTTTCAAGATGGTTGTGCAATGTTTCAATAATCATTTGTTTTATTTCTTCTGCAGTGCTCATATGGTCAAGTCAATGTTAAAGATCCTTCTAAAAAGAAGCAATTCAATTCATATTTTTATGTTTGACAGCAATTTCATCTCTGTTCTCCATATCATTGAACTTATATTTTTAAAACTTAAAACCTCAATCCAGAATTGCTCTCCTTGTTGTTAGTACTTGAGCATCAGTTTAATCTTAAATATATATATTAAAAGAACATCAAATAAATAAAAAAGCTAGCAAGTGTGTATGTGTTTCTAGAGGGGCACATTGATAGTTATTTCCCTTTCTTTTTACTTCATTATCAGACACATATGTTAAAGAAAGAAAATAATGACTGTCCCATTAAATAATAGTAGCATTCAGGTCACATTAGTAGCTCTTAATTTTTCATGCAGCCTCAGTTTTCCTACTGTTTTCTCATCAGTGTTATCAATCCAAGTGAGTTGTTGGCAAATAGAAGAGTCTGAATACAGTCTTCATTTTATTTATATCTTGTGCTATATAGAAATTGATATAATGCTATATTGTACAGCATATGAGTACCCAAGCAGTGCCATCCTGCATCAAGAAATGTTCTCATCTTCCATCTGTTCTCTTAATAAAACTTTAAATCGTTCTGACTTGGGGGTCAGGCTGCTAAATATGCCTCGCTTAGACCATTCTTCCTTCTCTCCCCCACCGTTCCCTCCTCCATTTATTTTGGTACTTCCCAGTCAAATCTGTTTTGCAGCATCTTGTTAGTGTCACACCCACTCAGTTCAGTGCATTGATACCTCTGGGTGTCATTCTCCAACCCTGGTCAGGACCTTGCTGGAACCATTCTTTCCAGACTTTCTTCTTTGCTTCTTTCTGAGGATAGTGGCCCCCAGGGGCTTCTGTTCTACCCAATGAAGCCATCCTGTGCCAGTGGAAGTTATTCAGTAAAACTGAATTTAAAAAAAAAAGCTTGCTGCCCACTTTTACCCAAAGCTGACCCTCAGCCTTTTTCCCTAGAGGAATCTGAAGGTTCTGAACACCTCAGGGGTCTGCCTCAGGCTCTGCCTGTGGCAGGAATAAAGGCTTTAGAGATCTTAAGCAATGAAAAGGTCCTGTTACCTGCCTTTAATTCAAAATAAAATTCAAGGCTTCAAAATAAAAGCCTTTCTGAACTCTGAAATAAGTGAAAACAAGCCAAATAAGGTTCTAATTTCCCCCTTCATTGTGGCTTCTGGGAGATTTTTTTTTTTTTTTTTTCAAATATTAGTTTCCAAAAATTGTCCGTATATTTGGTGCCCCGGTTTTCCTGGTGCTCTAACTGTAGTGCCCTAAGCAAACTGCCTGGGCCCTGTGGGATGTCAGCAGTCTTCTGGCGGTAAAGGAGCAGTCTCAGTGACCTGGTATTGTCCCATCCAGAAATTATTGTGAGGAAGGGGGCAAGAAAGGAGGCTAGCATTGTGATCCTGGAGGCAGTTAGCCTCTCCAGAAAGGCTTATGGATTCTAGGAACCAGTTTCCTTTTATCTTAGAACAAGAATCAACCTAATAGCTCCATGTTTTCCACTAGGTTTGGAGATTACCAAGGCTATTTTGTGAGGGCAGGATGGTGCTTTCTTTAGCAGCCTCAGGAGTTGGAGGGGAAAAGTTTGGAGCCTTAAAAGACCTTTTTTTTCCCCTGGAGAAACCGAGGAAAAAGAAAGATAGCTCACTCTGAAAGAAGATTACCAATGAAGGCAATTTTGAGAAAGTCCCTTGGCAGGTGGAAAAAAATGGTGAGATGCCTCTTTTCTAAAGGCTGCCCTTTCCTCCTCCCAGTGAACTTCTTGCAGTAGGAACTGGCCAATTGAAAAAGGATTCTGGACGTCCATCAGAGAACCCTTATTTTGGGGATGGGGTGGTGGTGGTGACTGTGATTATTCCTGGCAGAATGTCAAGTTTTACTGGCAACAGCCCGTGCTCTAAGGAGCCACTAGGGGCTGGGAGAGCCGGGAGGAGCCCGTCCTTACTCTTTCCTGCACCTGGAGCCCTGTAGCCTAGTTCTGAAGTTCTCCGCTGTGTCTGGAGAGATGCATGTGAACCACGCGTCAGGGGTGGCTCCGGGGCGGGCGATCCCACAATAAACACAATATGGGCACATAAATGGGCCTCGCTGCAAGAGCTGTAAGCTATATTGTATTCGCACATTGTAAAGTAAAAATCCGGGTTTCTTATTGGGTGTGTGTATACAAACATGTGGATGCAGAGAAATAGACTTCCCAATTTAAATCAACTGCTGCAGCTCGACTTTCAAGATTTCTGGAAACTCCTTCTGTCCCAAGGCCCAATAAATCAAAGGAAAAGTTTCTAACACGGAAGTGCCTTGTGGAAACTTGGGGGTAAAGGGGGCGGGATCCTGCAGCTTCGGTGGTGCTTCCTTCGCTGGAGAAGGACCCTGCAGTTCTCAGGGCAGGTGGATCACGATGCACAATTTCCCCTCTTAAGAAGTCGCACCCGCCCCTCTGATTTTTGCAGAGAGAGGAAGGGAAGGGCATTTCTTCCCCCACCCCCACCCCCAGCAAAACTTGGGGTTCCAAAAGCAGATGTGTTTGGGAATCGGGAAGTGGAGGCGCTTCCGGGACCTGCATGAGTCTTTGTTCCAGTGCGGTGCCGCTACTAGGGCGTTCGCAGTGTGTTCCGCACACGCGGTTCTACCGCCAGAAGCCCGCACGGCTAGAATTTGTCTCCGTACAAGGCTGGGGTAGGGGAGAGGAGCTCTCTCTACTAAACAAATGGCGGTTGGCTTATTGCCTTCCTACCACGTAGGCCCTGGTTAGCCCAGAACGTACTTCCCACTCCACTCCTGGCTACGCCTTGTAGTTTCATCTCTGCATTCGAGCAATGGCTTGAGTTTGTGGATCGGACGACTGTCCATGGTACAGGATTTAAAACTTGGTACTTTTTCACTACCCTGAAACAAAAGGGGTTCCTCTTTCCCCAGAAAAGAAGAGAAAGAAACTCAGTTGTCAGATATATAAACGTGGAGGGGGAGGGGGAGAAGGGAGTCGTTGGGGTCGTACCTTTTGCAAGCGTCTGTGAAAAGCCTGATTTTTGAGATAAAGTTATTGAAGAACTTGACTCCTTGGGTTGTTCCTAGGTCACCAAGCCTACCTTAGATCTCTGATGCCCTGCGGAGCGCCCCCCTGGCTTTGGGATGACTCTCAACTTCATAAAATGTTTCGGGGTTGGGCTCAGTGACAGGAGAACTCTAGAGTCCTGAGACTATGCGCTTAAAATAGAGTTAACCCGGGAATCAAGGAATGTAGAGGCCTTAGGAGATCCGTGACGACCGCATGCTCCCACGCGAATTTTTTATTCTAAGTGTGAGCTTCTGTGTTCGCTTCAGTGCGCGCGCGCGCCAGTGTGTGTGTGTGTGTGTGTGTGTGTGTGTGCGCGCGCGCGCGCGCGCGCATGATTTAACAAACACCTAATATCGTTCGTGACTCTAAAGAAGTATAAAAAATCGTTGCTTTGTACAGGGATGAGTGAGAGCATGCAAGCGTTTTTGAGCCGGTATCATTGTCCACCCATTCTTTGACCTCGCCGGCGAGCTTAGAGACGGAACCTGAACACTTGTCTCCTACCTTGCTGCTAAAACCGTCCGAGATAGGGGGGACTCTCGAAGAGAGAAGGAGTCAAGTCGAGGGGTAGGGTGGTTAAAATGTACATCGGTGGGGGCTGGTGGGCGAAGCCAAGTGGTTAGACAGAAAGGACTCTGTCCCAGGACTTTCTGAACTACAATCCAGGCTCGGATTCACCGCTCCGAGTCGATTCCTGACCCCTTCCCCTCCCCCCCCCCACACACAAATGTGTGGCCGAACTCGCAGAGCCAGAAAGAGAAAGCGACCTCTCGGGCACAGTCCCCAATCCCCTAGTCTAACCCCGCGCAGCTCTCACAGGCCGATCGGAGGCGCGCGGCGTCCGCAACCTACTGCGCCCTGCGCACTCTGCAGCCACGTCCAGCGACGGTGGCGCCGGGGGCACTGAGGAGGGAAGCATCATCCCAGGACAGGCACGCAGGAGCAGCCAATCTCGCTGTTCACACCGCTTCCACTTCGGGGGTGCCGGAGCCTCCACTATAATCTTCCGCCCCTCTCCCCAACCCTGAGCTGCGCACCGAGTGGGGGAGGGGCAAATCATTGGCCTGGGGCCCGGCTACCAGTTCTTCCTTCATTGACTTGAGGCCTGAGTGTGCCCTGGGCGGCCGGGGCGGCACAGCCCCTGGTGAACCCCAGACCTGGTAACAAGGCCCTCGCCCCATCCCGAGCACCCGCGTCTGGCTGAGACCCCGCGAACGCGTGTTTCCCAAGGTTTGAGGTTTTTTTCCGGGAGGGTTAATTGCCACCCTCACCCCCTACCACCAAACTGCGCTGACCCGACCGCCCACGGAGCGCCCTCAAGGGCCGAAAACTCCCCAAGTGCTTGGTTCCTGAAGACCTGAACAGGAGCGCTCAGAGTGAAGGCAGCACCGGGAGGGGAAGGCGGGGATGTGGCGGGTGAGCAATCAATGAATGGCTTGCTTAGCCCAGCTCCCGGCAGGAGCTCCCGCCCTTTCACCGTCTACGCCGGCACCAGCTGGCGGCAGGATCTTTAGGTACTGGCTCAGAGAAGGCTATGGCAAGCTGTAGGCTCGGGAGCCCAGGGCGCGCCGCGGGACTCCAGCCCCCGCGCGGCGCTGGAGTCTCAAGATGCTCTGGCCTTTATGAGGTTCACTTACGGCCGAAATCCTCTCTTAACACCTCCCCTGATTATTGAGAGGCTGGAAGGGCGAACGCAGCTCAGACCTTGTCTCCTGGCACTAGCCAGCGACTGTGTCCTCTGCCCACTCCCTCCCTTCTCCCTCTCCCAATTTAAAAGCAAGAAGAAAAATAAAAGACAGGTGGAGGGAGCCGCGGGTCAGAGGTGAGGGATTCAGGTCATTTCTGACAGAGAGAAAGAGAAAGAAGGGAGGAGAAATGAAGACAGATATTAATTTCCATCCAACAATTATTTATCTATTTGAATTAACAGGGGGACCCTCAGTGAGACGCTGGGACCCACGTGCACCTCTGGCCGCCGCCTCCCGCCCTCCC